GCTCTGTGTGTTTTATGTATGTGTGACTGTAACATGGAGGGGTGGGTCAGAGACAGACATGACACACACCCAAGGTCCATGTGGCAAGAGAGAGAGCTTTATTCTTTGAACCCAGCCTTATATAGGGGGTTTGAAACGTCCCAGTCTATAATGTTCATTGGTCTGCTCTTAACACAGTTTCCTGACCAGTGAGATGTCTGCAGCTTAAGATGGAACGTGATTGCTTGAGGTCTCTGTCTGTAACCAAATTAATTGCTCAGCTACAGACTAGCTGTGACATATGACGACTTAAATTTTGAATGTCTAAGGCTTTGAAATGTTATTCCAGTCTTTAGGAACAAAACTTTGTGAAATTTTAAGGATAATTCTAATAAAACAGAAGGGAAACATTTTGGATTTTCTCATTATACCATCTCAAAATTTACATACTTATGTGTTGCTGTGCTTATCACAGAAACAACATACTATTGATATAAAAAGACGTTTGAGAAAGTTGACTATTATCTTATATGGAAGTATACTGGTCACGGTTATTACACACCCATTTTTGAAAAGGGTGGTGCAAAGTTCCTGGGGAACTACTGACCAGTCAGTCTTACCTCTATGCCTGGTAAGATCATGGAACATATCTGCCTGGAAGACATATTCAAACATATGGAAAACAGGGAAGTGATTAGAGACAACCAACGTGGCTTCAGCAAGGGCAAGTCATGCCTGACTAATGCAGTGGCCTTCTATGATGGAGTGACTGCATCAGTGGACAAGGGAAGGGTAACTGATGTTATCTGCTGTGGACTTATTCCTTCCTCTAAATTGGAGAGACATGGGTTTGATAGGTGGACTGTTACATGGATAAGGAATTGGCTAATAGATGCATTCAAAGTCAACAGCTCAGTGTCCAAGTAGATATCAATAATGAGTGGTGTCCCTTAAAGGTCCATACTGGGACCAGTAGTGTTCATTATGTTTATCAACAACATAGTGCTGTTGACACACCTGAAGGATGGGATGCTATCCAGAAGGACCTAGACAGGCTCAAGAAAGGGGCTCATGGGAATCTTACGAGGTTTAACATGACCAAGTACAAGGTGCTATACCTGGGTCAGGGCAAACCCCAATATCAATACAGGCTGGGGGATGAACAGATTGAGAGCAGCCCTGAAGAGAAGGACTTGGGAGTGCTGGTGGATGAGAGGCTGGACATGAGCTGGTCACGTGCACTGGCAGCCCAGAAAGCCAATCGTATCCTGAGCTGCATCAAAAGAAGTGCGGCCAGTAGGTCAAGGGAGGTGATTCTGCCCCTCTACTCAGCTCTTGTGAGCCTCCATCTGCAGTGTTGCATCCAGCTCTGGGATCCCGAGCCCAGGAAAGAGACTGACCTGTTGGAGCAAGTCTAGACAAGGCCAAAAAGATGATTAGAGGAATGGAGCACCTCTTCTACAAGGAAAGTCTGGGAGAATTGGGATTATTCAGCTTGGAGAAGAGAAGGCTTTTGGATGACCTAATTGCAGCCTTCCAGTACCTGAAGGGAACTTGCAGGTAAGATGGGACAAGATTATTTACAAGAGCATGTAGTGACATGACAAGGGGGAATGGGTTAAATTGAGAGTAGGTTTAGATTAGATATTAGGAATAAATTCTTTACTGGGAGTGTGGTGAGGAACTGGAACAGTTTGCCCAGAGAAGTTGTAGATGCCCCATCCCTGGAGGTGTTCAAGGCCAGGTTGGATGGGGCTATGTACAACATAGTCTAGTTGAAGGTGTCATTGCCTGTGGCAGGGGGATTGGAAGTAGATGATCTTCAAGGTCCCCTTCCAACCCAAACAATTCTATGATTCTCTGATAGACAGTGGGATTGAGTGCACCTGCAGCAAGCTTACAGATGATACCAAGATGAGCAGAGCAGTTGATTCACTTGTGGGAAGGGATGCCATCCAGAAGGACCTTAAAAGGCTCAGTCCATGTGAGCCTCATAAAGTTCAACAAGGCCAAGTACAAGGTGCTGCACCTGGGTCAGGGCAATCCCCAGTATCAATACAGACTGGGGGATGAATGGATTGAGAGCAGCTCTACAGAGAAGGATTTGGGGGTACTGGTGTATGAAAAATTGAATATGAGATGGCAATGTGTGCTTGCGGCCCAGAAAGCCAATTGTATCCTGGGCTGAATCAAGGAAGTGTGGCCAGCACGACAGGAGAGGTGATTCCAGCCCTCTGGTCTAATGAGACCCCACCTGGAGTACTGCATGCAGCTCTGAGGTCCTCAGTACAAGAAAGATGTGGACCTGTTGGAGTGGGTCCAGAGGAGGGCCATGAAAATGAAATCAGAGGACTGGAACACCTCTCCTATGATGACAGGCTGAGAGAGTTGGGGTTGTTCAGCCTGAAGAAGACTCTGGGGAGACCTTATTGCTGCTTTTCAATATATAAAAGGGGCTTATGAAAAGACAAAGAAACTTTTTACCAGGGTCTGTATTGACAGAACTAAGGGCAACGGTTTTAAACTGAAAGAGGGTAGGTTTAGATTTGACATAAGGAAGAAATTTCCTATGATGAGGGTTGTGAGGCACTGGAACAGATTGCCCAGAGAAACTGTGGATTCCCCATCACTGAAAAGTGTTCATGGTCAGTTTGGATGGGTCTTTGAGCAACCTGATTTAATGAAAGATGTCCATAGCAGGGGGTAGAAGAATTGGATGTAAATGATTTTTAAAGGCTGATCATTCTATGATTGTTGTTTGTAGTCAGTTAGAAATCTGTTTTCTTTCTTATGACATGTTCAGTAGCAAGCAAAAATGCCAATTCTTTGGCAATTTATTTGTTTGAAAATCGTTATTTCCTGCTATAACAAATAGCGATACAAATAACAATGAGTGGCTGTGCAGTAGTACCAGCCTTCAAACAAAGGAAAACTTGAACTGCAAGTATACCTAGCTGCTCCTTGATTTGTAATTGCATTTATGACACTTTTTGCTCTCTCCAAGGTGTTTTAAAAGGTAGTGACCAAATTGAACTGTATTGTGTAGCTTTTTTTTGTCATATTTTTTTAAGTGACTGAAGTTTTCCACTTAATTGTGCAAATTTAAATGTTATGATTTATAAGCAGAAAGTGAAATTAACTGTGTGGTTAAACATGAACAGTATTATTTTACCTTTTTCAACTTTAACTTTTTAGCTTCAGTAACAGTTGGTTTTATTCTGTGAGGATGCCTTAAAACGGAATAATGGAATCACAATTCATTAAAATTCAATAGATTAATTTAATGCAAAATAAAGTAATTTTCATTGTGCCCAAGAACCAGATCTCTCATCTCATTTATTCAGAATAAAACTTTTCAGAGACTATTATATTTTTTTTTTAAAGTAAGACTTGAGCAAGAATGAGTATTTGAACGTATGTTCAAGTTTCTGTGGAAAATTAGAACCAACTCTGCAGAGGAGTTCCTCTTAACTGGAAGAGATTAGCATTTCTATAATACTAACTTCGACAAGATAAATTGTGAATGCAGATTGGTCTCCTTAATCAGGTTAAATCATCACAGAAGTTAAATTAGACAAAAGATACTGTGGAACTCTGCTAAGACTTTCATGAAGAATGAAAGTCTTGAGGTGGGACAAGCTATTGAAGGAATTATACATCTTGTTTTTAATGGAGTTATGATTACATCTTCAGCATTACTAATTTTATATACTGTTTTTATTGGTTTTTAAGATTTATTATGAGACTTCATTGATAAGATTGCTATTTTTGTCTTTTGGATCTCTTGCATACATGGGTTGTTCTTTGAGCTTTCATTGTTCCTAGAGACATTTTTCTTTGGTCACTGTCACTAATCTAAGGATGGATGTTGTTTTCTGCAACTGATTTTTCTTTTTTTAGATGTTGCTTTTAAGCATGCTTCTAATGTGTATATTGCCATTTAAATGAAGACTACTATAACTGGTAATTAATAAAAACGTTTATTTTGGAATTAGCTAACATTTGTGAGAATTTTAATCAGGCAACCCACTAAGTATCACTCTAAGAATGAATATGCATATTGTAACATGCTAAAATAAAGATGATTATATACATTTATCACCAATGTAATGTTGTAATGTTCATGTTTCTTCATGTGTTGTATTCACAAATGTCAAGCTACTGTTTGGGTTTATTTAACTCAATAGAATAAAACTTGTGTAACACTGTTTTAGTGGGTTGAAACTGTCAAATAGCTTACATGACTGTTTATCAGAGCAACTGCCATTCACCAGAAGGAATCTTCCTATGCAAGTTAGATTACAAAAATGAGGAAGGGTAAAAAGTATATTTAATCTATTATCTGCTTAGAGAGTATCACTTCTCTTGCAGTGACCTTTGCATATAATTTTTCTTGTGTTGTACTAAAAAGGAATGTTAGAAAATGTTGTTGCTACCATGTGCCTTTAAAAGTACTTGAAGTCAAAGATACCTGTAAGTGCAGAGGGAAGTGAAATTTCCTTCAGATGACAAGTTAGGGAAAACAAATGCTCTGAAGAATTTTAATCAACCACCACTAATGTTTCCACTGGATTCTTCCTATTGGGGTGAGGGAATTATGTTTACCGTTCTGCGGAGAGCAACAAGGTAGCAAAAGTATATACTATTAGGTGACATTGCTCTTTCAGAGCTGATTTAGGGTTTTAACAATCAAGTTTTACTTTTGATTTTCTGTGTGGCAATGCCTAAAATAGTTCTTTTGGCTTAAGCAAACTAGTTTTAGGAACTACTATTATGAAAGCAACCTTATACAAAATGGTGAAAGTATTCCACTACTTTTCAGTGTGGGTTTTTTCTTTTACCAGAGCAATGTAGTATTCTTTATAACCTAATTTGAATAAGGTGCACTAAGCTGTATAAATTAATGTATCTTATATTTATATATAAGTATAATATATTGCCTTCTTAAAGCATGCAGCTCTTGTCCAGAGTAGAATTTTGAGTATGTACTTGTTTAATGTTATGTTTGTATCTGTGTACAGAAAGCATAGAAACAATGTTGGACCAAGCAAACCTATTTCTCAGCCACGAAGAAACATTGTAGGCTGCAGAATACAGCATGGCTGGAGAGAAGGGAGCGGACCTGTAACACAATGGAAAGGCACAGTTCTTGATCAAGTTCCTGTAAATCCCTCCCTCTATCTTATAAAGTACGATGGATTTGATTGTGTGTATGGACTAGAACTGCACAAAGATGAAAGAGTTTCAGCACTTGAAGTCCTTCCAGACAGAGTTGGTAAGAGGTTTTTTCCTATATGTATATATGTTGTCAGAACATTTAAATTTTATTAAATTACTTTTCAGTATATGGCAGATAATCTAAATGCTCTGTTCAATTTTTATTTTTTTAGTTCACAAAGTTTTGATGATAACAGAAAGATTAGTGCTGTCTCTTGTCTTTAAATTGTATGTAGAAAGTTCCATGGGTTTCCTTTTTGAGAGTCTTATCCCTAATGAGCTTATGTACATGTAGCATCGATATTTCTATTAAAATTTAAACTCTGAGCCAGCTAAGAAATATCCTGGCTATGCTGTCTTGCATGTGTTTGACATTAATTATGTGTTTGGTTGGGTTTTTTTTTTAATGTGCTTTCAATAGGTATTAATACAAGTGGAGGGGAAAAAAGCATTTTCTAAGTGAAATAACTTAGTAACTAGTAACTTAACTAGTAACAAGGCTTTATTGTTTTTTATAATTAGCACAGAATTGTTAAACTGCAGGTGTTTCCAAACTGTAAAGTTCAAAGTTTGACTAATAAGGTGGGGTTTTTTTAATGGAATCAACTCTTGGGTTTCCTGACTGCAAAGAAATCAGTAGCAGTCTCTAGAATGGGGTTAGGGGGAACCAAACCTAACACCTTCATTAATAACTTCATACAGCTGCTCTGTGATTTAGCCTCTCTTCCTCCCCTCCTCCTCCCCTTCAGTATAAATATTTAAAATACAGGTGCTAGTCCTTGCTGTGGCTTATATTGGTCTCCCTTTACCTTGCAGTATGATAGCTTGATTGGGGGGGAGTGCAATGATGGAAAATGTCAATAAAGAGTGTTAACATGTTAAAATAATTGAGTTCTGCTGTTCTTTGATCTTCAGCTCTCTGAAATGGGCATTATTTGTTTTTTATGTGAATTGACTAACTTTCAAATTAATTTATTAATGAATCTGGATAAAGATTATGTTTTGTAAAGATTTATTTCTGTACTTTTTGAATGGACATACTTATGAACTGCTACCATTTCAGCTTCATCTCGAATTAGTGATGCCCATCTGGCAGACACAATGATTGGCAAAGCTGTGGAGCATATGTTTGAGACAGAGGATGGCTCAAAAGATGAATGGAGGGGGATGGTCTTGGCTCGAGCTCCTATTATGAACACATGGTTTTATATTACCTACGAGAAAGATCCTGTGTTGTATATGTACCAACTCTTAGATGACTATAAAGAAGGTGACCTTCGCATTATGCCCGATTCCAGTAAGTAGACTGGTTACTTTTTTATTCTGAAAAGTGTCATCTCTCTGTATTATTATACAGCTTATGGGTTATGTATGGAAAAGAGAGTTGACAAAGTATCTTTTTAAGTATCAAAACTAGCAAAGGTTACAACACAACTGAAAAAATATGTGTATTCAACAATTTCTGAAATATTTTCCTTGAGTCAGTGGTGAAATATGCAATAAATACTGGAAAATCCTTTTCCATTATAATTCCTAATTTTGATAAAGATATGCATACTGTTATGAAGAGATTACACTTAGAGTTTTTTTTACATGGACAAACTAGAATCTTTCCATTGTTATTTTCTTATAGAAGTGTCACAAATCAAGGAGTTATATTTTTGAAGCAGTTGTTATAAAAATAATGTCTTGGGGCTAACTAAAATAGGTTAATTTATTTTGGGTAAGCATCATCAGTTTGGAAAGTTTTTGAATAGTTTCTTGGAGGAAAGAAGCACTAATATTTTCAAAACTCATTTTCTCTCATATGTTTAAACATATAAACAGGAAAAAATTTCAATAGGTTAGGAGGAATATTTTTTCTTTCTTTTTTAAAGAAGGTTATTGGCTTTTTTCCTAGAAATATTTTTTGCAGAATCAGTGTTGTTCAAGGGATTTTAGCTAATAAAAAAAAAAAGAAAAAAAATTGTCAATAATTTGGGTCCTTTACAGACAATGTGAATTGTGTATTTAAAGATACTTCTGGGTAGATTTTGCTTGAAAAGCAAATAATAAGATTAAACTTCACAACAGTATCCATTCTAGTGTAAAATTGAAAGCTCCTTTTTACAGCATTATTGATTAAGGAGGTCACACTTAGCTTGGAAGATGTTTTTTTTTTGCAATGACATATTTGCATTGACATTTTAGATAGTGAGTTCTAGTACACCTGCCTTTCTGTTAAAAATACTCAGTGCCTTGTTCTGCTGGGGGCTCAAATTCAATTATCTACAAACATTTTTTGTAATTGGTGTGTAAACTTTCATGTCAAAAGATTTACTTTTCTAACCAATTGAAGTGCTAATTTTTAATTCATAAAAGTGAACAGTATTACTTAAAAAATAAAATCTGTGACTACTCTAGAAGCATGGCAATAGGCGCTTGTCTAAACTACTTTAGACATACTTTGCATTTTGAACTTGTGACTTTCTTAACTTATAAAGAAGTCTGCAGTTTTGTATATCGCAAAAAATCCATAAATGTCTACCAAAGTACGATGTATTTTCATATTACAGATGATTCGCCTCCTGCAGAACGAGAACCAGGTGAAGTTGTAGACAGCCTGGTAGGCAAACAAGTGGAATATGCCAAAGAAGATGGCTCAAAACGGACTGGCATGGTCATTCATCAAGTTGAAGCCAAACCATCTGTCTATTTCATCAAGTTTGATGATGATTTCCATATTTATGTCTATGATTTGGTGAAGACATCCTAGACATCATCATGAACTTCTGCCAAATTTGTGGAACTATTAAATGTAAAATTTGTAGACACAGACTTGACTGTTTTTCAGTTGAATGAAAATTTAGATGTCCCTGCGAACCCACAATCTCTGCCAGCAACTGTTTTGTTCTGAATAATACAAATTTATGTGAATATGACACATCTTGTGTAAGACAGCTCCTTTTCTTGAAGGAAATCAATATATTTGGGTGGTAGGGAGTTAAAAGCTAAGAACAGTTGCAAATTCAAGCTGTGTGAAGTCAATCTAGTATTGTAATCTAAATTTTTTCTTAGATTAACTTTTTCTTCAACCTTGCATCACCTGTTCAACTGCCACATGCAAGTGTAGTTTGCTATTTTTCATATGTCTTCTTTTGCAACATTAAATTTCATTTCTTGGCTACTGGCAGTCCTTGTTTTCTGGGTTGAGACAGAGATGACTTTTCTGAAAGGTTTAAACAGTTTGTGCAGCAGTAAGGAGTGTCTAACCCACGTAACATCAATTTACTGTGTTTCTATTCTGTTTCAAATTAAGTTATTAAATACTTGTGTGTTTTTTACTAGTCACAGGGCAGTAGGATATCAAGTGTTTGACTTATGCACCTTTCAGTGAAAAGGCTTTAATCTATAAAAATATATTTAATCTGTATATCCAGCTAATTAGAAAATGAAGGTTAAGGGCCTGTGTTTACAAGTTTTAGGAACCAGTAAAATACACACAACAAAGCTGCCATTAATCCTAAATGTTGTGTTCTGTTTTGTTATTCACATTTCGTAGCAGAATACAAGTGCTTGGTGCCACAAGTTTAACAGTATATAATGCTACTTAAGCAGACTTTGGACTACACATCAGCAATCAGTAGTCTCTCATTTAATATCAGAACCTAGCAACCTGGATGTTTGTGTGTGAACTTAGAAAGCTAGTATTAGTTAATCTTTTACACAGTAAATACAAGTTATGTGGGAGGGGGGTCCTTTTACACTGAGGACCTTCTTTAGAGAAGGAGAAGCATTTGTTGCCTTCTCCTCAGTCTGCTGTATTCCTTTGTTTTGTGCTGGGGTTTGCTATTGTTTTTAACCATTTTGGATCAAGAAGGTATAATTTCAGTGTATTCTATTTTTGGCTTTTCCACGTAAGGAGTGTCCAGACAAATCTACAGTTTAAACCTGTTGTTGCCTTTTGTGGTGTACTTGCTTTGAGGTATGCCATTAACATAAATTTCATTCTGTGAACACTAGAGTTATGCATGCCAGTGGTGTACTATCTAATGGGAGCTATAGGCTGTTTCAGTGGTTCAGTCATCTGCATTAGATTGTGGATGCAAATAACAGCCCACAACAGCAGAATCCTTTCACAGTTTTAATCTTGCAAGATAGTTGTAAATCAAGGTTAGGGTATTCGGGTTTTTAAGAATAACAACTTTTAAAAGCATCATAATTGTAATGAGGATCAGCACAGCAACAAAATTTTCATGTTGAAACAGAACTCTACAGGCTTCAAACCACTGCTTCACAGAAATACAGTATGTGAAGAATGTGAATACAGTCAACGCTATTGATGGAAAGAAGGAATACGTAGATATCCAACCTGATGATGTTAGTGGAAGGATGCAGGAGAGATACTGCTAATCAGAGATCAGGGGTCTGACCTCTATTGTGAACATTCTTAATAGCAAAGACTCAGTGGCTTAAATCCTTTTCTGTCTTTTTTTTTTTTTTTTTTTGCCTGATTTCATGCTTTAGCCTTAAGGCTTGTGCCTCATTATGCTGTTAAATGGTAATACTGTATAAATATGGTATCAATTCTTTGTCCCTTGCTACTATATTGCATTATGTCCTGTATTTCACCATGGGCAACCAAAGGCAGGCTATTGTCTTTCAGTTCAAAACTTCTCAATCCGGTCTTTAAGCACCAAGTATCTGAGTCAGTAAATTTTCATTGTGTTTTGAACAAAATGAACAGATTTGCAACACAGTGCTTTCATCCTGCAGATCTGTTATGTGCTTCCTATTGACTCTTAAGAGTCCTGCATGTAAATCTCAAAGCTGAGCCTGGCTCCATGAGCCCAAGTTGATATTTGTGGCACAAGAATGAGTGTATTGATTACACACAAAATACACTAATAACATAGTACAATGAATTTTGGGCTTTACATCTAAGGATGTAACAACAAGGTTTGTTTTGAAATATTTGAGGTTTAGCTCTACTGGAACATTTTTAGCATTTGGATTGCATTTGTGGGGTTTTATGTAAGCCACTCTAATACACCACATATTTTGCTAATTAGAATATAATCTATACAGTATATACTGTCAAATTTTATAGTTGTTTTTAGATGTCCCCATTGTCTGTTGCATGGGATTTTTCTTTTCATCTTTTTTTTCTTAAGATTTGTGTGGAGGGGTGGTTTTGGTTTTGTGGTTGGTTTTTTTAATAGCTTAAACCACCATTTTGAGACTTGAGACTTATTCCACTCCCTGCCCCATCTGTTTTGGGCTTACTTAAGGCTCATGTTTCAGATCTGCATGCAGTGCTTGCATTACCCTAGTAACTACATGTTGGTCCCTTGTTCTAGGGGTTCAACATTACTTTCCAAATTTATCATAGGTCTTGTGATGACACAAGCCATGGATCTTGGTATAAAAATTATTAGCCTCATTTACCTGCTGTAGTATTGTTGTATATTGTGTGTGCATGATGTCGAGCTGCCATGGAAAACTTTTAAAAAGGAAAAAAAAACCCACCTTAAATGCAGACCATCCTTTTTTGCATGCTTAGAAGGTTAGAACATTCAATGTAACAAATGGAAGTTGCATGTTATAATGTTTAGGTTTGGGGTTTGTTCTGTTTTTATTTTGTGTTCAGTTTTTTGTGAATTTCCTTATTGTGCTGTTTGAATGGTTGTTAATAGGATTAAATGCACTGGTGAGGCAAACATAGTTCCAACGAAAGGTAATTTTCCAGTTGTATGTCATACAGCATTTGAAGGGACCATGTATTCTGCTCAAGGATAAATAAAATCATAATTGATAAGTACAACAATGAATTTTTTTTCTTTTGAATGCCAAACCCTAAACTAAGTGGGACTACATAAAGACTGAAATACTTTGGGGAAAATCCTATTTATTACAATAGGTATCCATCTTCTTAAAATTAATTCTTTAAAATTGAGGATTTATCTTCAAATAGAATAAATTACAGTTGCTTCAGGGAAAAATAATTAGGGTAAAAAACAGTTTCTGGTTCCTTGAAAATGTTGTGCATTTTGTATTTTATATCATTAGTGCAATTTGAATGGTTCTTGGTATGTTTATTGTTCAAAGGTCTTCGTGTTCACATTTTAAAATTAGGTAGTGACTTCATCTTTAAAGCTTGGTTTCATTATTTTTTATTTTCTTTGCATTTAGAAGTATGAACACTTTAAATCTGTTACTTAATTCTGTAAGTAATTTTTATAATTATGATGTAACTCTATCCTTAAAACATTTAAAATAAATCCTTTATGTGCAACTCATGACTTTAAATTTTATTCTCATGAGCAAAATGTAGTGATGCGACTTCAGACTGCAAAGAAGCAGTTTCTTCAGTATTTTAATTTAAAAAGGTTTAGTATTTTAGAGTTGGGCCATATGTGCTGGTATAATACTTTCCCCTTATGAAATAAGTTTGCTTGCTAAGTCAATTTTTTTCCCGCATGTAAGTATGAATGTCATTAAGATGGAATTTCACTGAGGTAAAGCATAATGCTTAAATTGTATTTCACCAAAAAAGGAAAATTCCTCCTCAGGGGTTTAAGCAAGTCTGTGAGGAAGCATCTTATTTCCAAAACACACTAGCTTACACTGTAATCAGTAGTTAAGAAGCAGGGAACAGTAGAAGTGTTTGTCAGTGTTTAGCTCATAGATTTGACTGCTTTGAATTAATGGGCTTAACTAGAATTGGAATTTTATTTTGCTCACTAAATTAAAAAAAAAAGTAGAATTTATCCAAAACTAGACATGATGAGCAGTGAAGAGAATAATAGCACAGTGCTGTGAATTTCCTTGAAGCACATAAAGTATTTCATACTAATCAGTGAACACTTAATTATTTTATGTTGTTTAAGGTAAATTACAAAGCTTTATTTTGAATACTGAAATTTGATTATAGGGGGGAAAAATCTTATAGGAATAGCCCAAAATATATTTTTGACACCAAGTTGCCGACACCTCTGGACAGTGGGAAAGAGTGCACCCTCAGCAAGTGCATAGATGATGCAAAACTGGCAGGAATGGCTGATACACCAGAGGGTTGCGCTGCCATCAAGAGGTACCTTGACAGGCTGGAGAAATGGACTGACAGGAACCTCATGAATTTCAACAAGGGAAAGTGCTAAGTCCCACACCTGGGAAAAAACAACTGCATGCGCCAGTACATGATGGGGGCTCACCAACTAGAAAGCAGCTCTGCAGCAAAGGACTGTATGTTTGTAGTGTCCTAGTGGAGACTAAGCTAAACATGAACCAGCAATGTGTCCTTGTGGCAAATAAGGCTAACAGCACCCTGTGCTGCATTGGGCTGTCGTTGCCAGAAAGTCAAGGAAGGTGATCCTTCCCCTTTACTGAGCACTGGTGAGGCTGCATCTAAAGTACTACGTTCAGTTCTGGGCCCTCCAGTACAAGAGTCATGGATATTATGGAGAGAGACCAGTGAAGAGTCACAAAGATGATTAAAGGATTGGAGCACCTCTCTTATGAGAAAAGGCTGTCACCTGGCTTTATGGGGACAGACAGGTTGTTTTGGAAATCCTTGGCAGAATCATGATGAAACTAAGTTGTAGTTGCAATTAAAGTTGTTTTTTTTTTACCGGACTTTTATGATCAGCATAGAATGGTATCATCAGAGTAGAACAGGTGTTTTAATAAGCAGAATCAGTGTAGCACAATTTTATAAGTAGCATAGCACAGAATTTCAAGGCATAGCTTAGCTTATGCCTTCTAATCACCTGGATCCTCTGCATGTCAGGTCAAATCTTTAACACGTGACTTTCCATATCAATATAACAATCATAATCTAGGCTTGAAAGATGTAAAAGAATTTGAGTCACTAAATCCTCAGTAGGAGCAGATGATGTTGGAGGCATCCCTGACCACTGGAGGATCACAAGTTCTGCTGTCCAACTGCTGTTTCAGTCCAAGTCCCACTTAAGATTTAACTGCTTGATTTTATAGGCAGTGCTATGTGTGCTGCTAAGCTTCCCTGTTGTGTATCAGGGTCACAACCACCTGACTAGCCAGGTGCCTGGGACCTTCAAGGCCAGTAAGGAGGAGAGTAGTTAGCCTGGCACCCAGGAACCTGGAGACTGATAGGAAAGGGGAGAAGTCTGCCTAGCACACAAGACCTTCAAGGCCTGATGAGGGAAAATGGGACTGATATATGCCCAGTTGAGTCACAGAGAATGGCCTAATTTGCCTAATGGCATTAGTTATGTTAACCATATTACCAGGGGTCAGGTGTAGATGGTCACACTGAGAGAGCTGGGAGTGTTTAGCCTGGAGAAGACTCAGATTCTCATCAATGCATACAAATACCTGATGGGAAGGAATGAAGAAGAGGGAAACATGCTCTTTTAGTAGTGCCTAGTGACAGGTCGAGAGCCAGTGGGCATAAGCTAAATCATAGGAGTTTCCATCTCAACATCAGAAAACTAATTTTTTTTACTGTGAAGGTGACTGAACGCTGCAACATTTTGCCCAGAGATGTTGTGGAGTCTCCCTTCTTGAAGAACTGTCTGGACATGGTCCTGAGCAACTAGCTCCAGATGACCCTGCTGGGGATGGCAGGGGGAAGATGTGGACTAGGTTCCAGCCTCAACCATTCTATGATTTTAAGGATTGACAGCCTGGGAAAAGTTATCAAGCTTCTAAGCATTCTTTTCAGGCTTTACTCTTCCCATATTACTAGTTTACTGTTCTGAATTCCTCAGTTCCTCTTCCAGATTTGGAGTATAGCAGCATTATATGTGCAACAATGTAGCTGAGGTCCCACTGGTATCAATAAGCTGGTATATATGTAACACTTGACTATTCCACTTGGATATTAATTACTGCTTTCTGTTGCACATCCCTCTTAATCATTGTCACAATTTCCATAACTTCAGTTGAGCAAAAAATGTAAATGGCTTTCATACTCTGACAATTTAAATACCTATATATTTTGGTGCCTTTTTCTCCAAAAAATCCTTAAATTTACTTGTGAAAGTCACTCCATTGAATACAAATCCTTTTTTTTAACATCTCCATGCTTTTTGGTGTTGCACTGTTACTCAGGTCTATACACCAGACTACCCTATTCAAAGCTGACTCTCATAATGAATACTGACATATATGCACCTCAGTTTGAGCAACCTTCTTTTTTTTTCTTTAGTGTGTTTCTGTCCTGGTTTGAAAGACAGGTGTCTTCTAAGGAAGGCAGGAGCCTTCCTTGGAATGGAATATGTAATCCCCTTCCCTCTGAAATACAATAATTTTGAAATTAAGGGGCTTAATTTTAAAATGAAGGGGCTTTCAGTCAAAGGTATGATGATAGGAATGACAGTTCTTTACTAGTTTGTATAACAAGGCAAACAATCAACAATACCTATGGCAGTTACAACAAATAGAACCAGAAACCCAGTATCAGCCTTCTCAGCCGCAGG